TCGCTCTCGGGGGGTGGGAAGCAGCGAAAACCAATCGGGCCTGGAAACCAAACCCGAAGGATCTTTGGGTTCTCATGCATCCCTGTGTTCGGATTTCACTTTCGGGGAATCGGCGGCAGCGAAAATCCATCGGGCCTGAAAATTAAGCCCGACGGATTTGGGGGAACCTCATGCTTTCCTGTACTCAGAATTCGCTCTCGGGGGGTGGGAAGCAGCGAAAACCCATCGGGCCTGGAAATCAAGCCCGAAGGATCTTTGGGCCCTCATGCATTCCTGTGCTCGGATTTCACTTTCGGGGAATCGGCGGCAGCGAAAATCCATCGGGCCTGAAAATTAAGCCCGACGGATTTGGGGGAATCTCATGCTTTCCTGTACTCAGAATTCGCTCTCGGAGGGTGGGAAGCAGCGAAAACCCATCGGGCCTGGAAATCAAGCCCGAAGGATCTTTGGGTTCTCATGCATTCCTGTGCTCGGCTCGGGGAATCGGCGGCAGCGAAAATCCATCGGGCCTGAAAATTAAGCCCGACGGATTTGGGGGAATCCCATGCTTTCCTGTACTCAGAATTCGCTCTCGGAGGGTCGGCAGCAGCGAAAACCCATCGGGCCTGGAAATCAAGCCCGAAGGATCTTTGGGTTCTCATGCATTCCTGTGCTCGGATTTCACTTTCGGGGAATCGGCGGCAGATCCATCGGGCCTGAAAATTAAGCCCGACGGATTTGGGGGAATCTCATGCTTTCCTGTACTCAGAATTCGCTCTCAGAGGGTCGGCAGCAGCGAAAACCCATCGGGCCTGGAAATCCAGCCCGAAGGATCTTTGGGTCCTCATGCATTCCTGTGCTCGGATTTCACTTCCGGGGAATCGGCGGCAGATCCATCGGGCCTGAAAATTAAGCACGACGGATTTGGGGGAATCTCATGCTTTCCTGTACTCAGAATTCGCTCTCGGGAGGTGGGAAGCAGCGAAAACCCATCGGGCCGGAAATCAAGCCCGAAGGATCTTTGGGTTCTCATGCTGTCCTGTGCTCGGATTTCACTTTCGGGAAATCGGCGGCAGCGAAAATTCATCGGGCCTGAGGCGGACGGTGGCAGGAGGTTGAGACGACGATGAGACGAGGGCGGCTGGTGGGTGATACGACGGTGAGATGACGGCGGCGGGGGGGTGAGCCGGCATTGGCTGGGGGGTGAAAAGACGGTGGCTGGGGGGCGAAACAGCGGCGGATGGGGGGTCAGACAACGGTGGGACGACGGCGGTTGGGGGGACGGCGGAGCGACGGCGGCTGCGGGGACGAGATCGGTCACGGCGAGATGACCACCACGCACCACCACGCACCACCACCACGTGCCACCACGCACCACCACGCACCACCACCACGCATCACCACGCACCACCACGCATGACCACCACGCACCACCACGTACCACCACGCATGGCCACCGCACACCACCACGCACCACCACGCATGACCACCACGCACCACCACGCACCACCACCACGTACCACCACGCACCGCCACGCACCACCACGTATGACCACCACGCATGACCACCACGCACCACCACGCACCGCCACCACGTACCATCACGCACCATCACGCACCACCACGTATGACCACCACGCATCACCACGCACCACCACCACACACCACCACGCACCACCACGCACCACCACGCACCACGCACCACCACCACGTACCGCCACGCACCACCACGCACCACCACCACGCACCACCACGCACCACCACGCACCACCACCACGCACCACCAGCAGTGGCATCAGTAGTGGTGGTAGTCGTAGTAGTAGTAGTAGTAGTAGTAGTAGTAGTAGTAGTAGTAGTAGTAGTAGTAGTAGTAGTAGTAGTAGTAGTAGTAGTAGTCGTAGTAGTAGTAGTAGTAGTAGTAGTAGTAGTAGTAGTAGTAGTAGTAGTCGTAGTTGTAGTAGTAGTAGTAGTAGTAGTAGTAGTAGTAAGTAGTAGTAATAGCAGTAGTAGCAGTAGTAGTAGCAGTTAGTAGTAGTAGTAGTAGTAGTAGTCAGGAGTAGTAGTAGTAGTAGCAGTAGTAGTAGTAGTAGGTAGAAGTAGTAGTAGTAGTAGTAGTAGTAGTAGTAGTAGTAGTGGTAGTAGTAGTAGTAGTAGTAGTAGTAGTCGTAGTAGTAGTGCTGGTAGTCGTCGTCGTGGTAGCGATAGTAGAATTAGTCGTAGTACTAATAATACTTGTAGTCGCACTAGTGGTTCTAGTAGTAGAAAGACTGATCGTAGTGGTGGTCGTAGTGGTACCATCACTAGTAGTAGTACTAGTAGTAGCAGTAGTAGTAGTAGTAGTAGTAATAGTAGTAGTAGTCGTAGTAGTAGTAGTAGTAGTAGTAGTAGTAGTGGTGGTGGTAGTAGTAGTAATAGGCGTAAAAGTAGCAATGCAACGAGTACAAGTTAAAGTCGTATTAGAAGAAGAGGTAGTAGTATATGTAGTAGTAGTAGTTTTTGTAGTAGTAGTACTAGTAAACGC